ATTGTTATAATTATGATGATGATTATTATTATAATTGCTGTTGTTGTTGTTGTTATATTTTATATTATTATTATGTTGACGAATAAACATCCTTCTTTGTAAGTACTCACGCGCCTGACAAAATACAGGTCATCAAACTCCGCAGTATCCAGTTGGCCGCCGACGTCACGGCCATTTTGCACCTCAGTAGTCTTCATGAAATGTAGCACGCTTCATTCAAATTTTTGAGCACGCCCAACGAGGGCTTAGCATGTCCGTGAGATTCCCACTGGAAGTCTGCAGCGCTGTTGGTGGGTAGTATGAATGTTTCACAAGGCGCGTGAGTGAGTGAGAGAATCACTGATTGCCTGAAAAAATTGACTGGCTGACCTTATAAATCTTAGGATGTTTGTTGGTTTGTTGCTTTGTTTGCTTGATTGCTTGTTTGGTTGTTTTCGTGATTTTCTGTTTCATTTGATTTGATAATATACTTTACCACTCAAATTAAGCAAAATCAAATCTTTCTCTCTGTGTGTTTTTAAAAATATAAAGTAGACATGCTTTCCTAAACTTAGCATCCAAACGTTATTTTATGAGAGTATGTAGACCTACTATGTACAGATATACATGTATACACGTATGGGATTCTACACATATAACTGTAGAATCATTGACAGATCTCAGTTTAATCAGGAAAAGATTTTGAAAAGTTCATTTTTAAATCTAGATTCTAGATAAAGATATAAAGGCTTTCTACACTTCATTGTTCATTATCCAGTTTACTAGATCTAGAATCTAGATCTATAGATCTCTCTAGATCTAGATCTAGACATTCTAGATCTAGATTCTACTATGCCATGAACATATTATCCTACAAGTAATAGCTTTTCGTCCCACCCCCTAATTATTGTAGGAAGGGAGTAAATTTACTATAAACTGATATAATAATTATGACCTCAGGAGCTTTAAGATTACATAACAAAGATGCCACAGAATGCGAAGAAACAATGGATCACTAAAGTTACCTGCCTGGGGCAATATCTTTTGTTTTCTTAGTCGCATGCAAAGCTCTCATCCGTTCTGCACCAGCGACAATAGGTGCGCTTTATGAAAAAAAGAGAAATTCCACCAAATTAATTTTGCGTACAACAACAATAAATAAATGAGAGAGCTACACACCACTAATATTTCAGTGTGTGCGCGGCGCACGTGTGTGTGTGTGTGTGTGT